TTTTACTTTAAGTTAAGAAACTGGTGATTTTCTTAAATTTGATATGAATTAGCCAGTAAATTTCAGTTTACCTGACAAAATTGAAGGCATCTTACATTTGACAAACATTGATTTTGTTTCTCGAGATTTATATTAAAATTTAAATATTATAATTAACAATAACAAAACAGAATTGCTGAATGACAGGAAGCAACGAGGTAGCGGACGAAAGTGTAATAGTGCCCAATCTTCAAAAAATTAAATACAATGTTAATCACCATCGCCATTTTCTATTGTCATGAAACCTGTTCTTTTATTGTCCTTTCCTCACTAAAGTTTTCTCATTGTCTCTCACGCTCTGCGTCCTAGTGGCACTGTCGCCTTGCTTGGGGTGAAATGATAACAAAAAAACAAACTTGTTGAGTCGTCCTTTATGAAAAATCATAATGGAATAAAAGATTATCACTGACTAAATTCATTCGCTTGTAGATTTTGCTGCGGTCAACAGTGACATTTTCGTCATTATCCAAATAAGTAAAAATATTCAAAAACTATAAAATGTAACGATTATTGGTGTGGACTGGCGAACTGAATTCAAGTTCCGGTTTCGTCTGACCTTACAGTAATGTCCTTTGGAAAAGCATGATACCATCTTTTCCAGTTTCCGGTTAAATAATATAGCTGGGCTCTCTAACCTTGGGTAGCAACTAATCTAAGCAAAGGACAATTCTGAATTCCAAACTGAAGAAAGCAACGGGAAACTACTCCATTATATTTCCCAAGAATGCTTGGTAATTCACAGATAGTAAATAAAAAGGAATCCATGATCGACTGTCTGAAAAGGACATTACATTTTAAGAAAAAGACACATTTAATAGTTATCTCCCTTGAAAAACAATTTTCCCAGTTCACTGTGAATGCAGACCTCTCCCCCAAATATTATTCATCATCATCCCCTTGATTTTTGTAATCGTAGGGGGATCCGAATGCAGAAGCAATACTAAATCTTCTTCACAACGGTCGCCATCAGCAATTTTGATATAGTTATACCTGTTCATTGTATAACATTGGACAATCAGTTTTTTTGTTTTTTTTTTTTTTTTTTTACGTTGGCGTCCTCTTCTTCGTCCACCTTGCATGGTGGTCTTTCACAGGCTGTCGTGCCTTGTAATGTATCCAAACTACGTCTTTTTCCTCCGTTTGACAGTGGCGAAAAGAGGCCCACAAAACTTTCAATCCTTTTCCGCACAAACTCATTGGTTTTATGTTTCCAATAAAATATGCCAAGAAGTTTTCTCATGCATTTATTCTCAAACGTTTGGATCCTTCTCTCTGTTTCCACGTTTCGAATCCATAATGGTGACTACCAGCAATTTGTATATAGTCTGTACTACGTTTGGCAGACGACATTGACCTCAAAGCAAGTAGTAAGAGTAAGCTCCAGGACTTGTCCAATAAACTTTTTGAAAGAGCAGTAGCATATAGAATGGAGGTCAGCTCCCAGAAATCCAAAGTAATGGTGAATATCACAAACAGTAATACCTGTGTCAACATTACCATAAACAGGTGGAAGTGTTCGGTTTTAAATACGAGGGAGCAATCTTGTCTAAATATGGTATCTACAACTCAGAAATCAGGATTGCTGCAGCCATGGCAGCGATAGCCAAATTGCCAAGGATATAGACGAACAAAATCAACTTTCAAACAATTCAGAGGATAATTAAGGGGACATAACATTTTAAGAAAAAGCATTTAATAGTTATCTCCCTTGAAAAATCTTAGTTCACTGTGAATGCAGACCCCTTCCCCACTATTATCTAGTTGCAAATCCCTTAGATACATTTGCCTACTTAAGGTATTAGTATATTCTAGGATAATTAAGGGGACATAACATTTTAAGAAAAAAAGACTATAATTAACCCACAATAGTTATCTCCCTCTAAAATCTTTTTCTAGTTCAGTGTGAATGTTGATCACACAATATTATCAAATCACATTGAAAATATCGGTTCTCGTTTGATCAACGATGTTAAGTAGCATAGAGCCCAGTCAGTATTTAGATGGGGGACCGCTTGGAAACAATCTGAAATATATCTTGGCTTTAAATTACCCAGAAAGGGTTGATAAGCTGTAAAAATACCTCAAAAAACAAATCATTATATTCAGTTGCAAATTACTAATATTTCATATTATTATTAGCATATTTGAGGATAATTCAGTTCATTTAGCTAAAATGCATTGCTTTTGTTTTGTTTAGAAGTGAGTCAAAATCAGTGTTTAGATATTAACAAATCCCTTGACATAATATTTATTTGAAACTGTTAAATTATATTAGTTTCAGTTATCACAAATTATACACATGCCCTACAGTCTAAAAGTTTGAAGCCACACCCAGAATTAGCATAGGATGAACTTGACAGAAGAGTGAAAAAAAAATGAAAAAGAAACATTGAAAAAAGAATCGAATCAATTATCAAAGTTAAACTTTTCAAACGAATACAAAACATTTGTCCTGCAGTAATCAGGGGTAAAGGAAGATATTTTGATGAGAGCAAAATTTAATCAATAAAATGCTTTTTTAATATTCATCATAATAAAATTTCTAATAAATCTTTTTTCACTGTTTTTAACCATGTATAATAATTTTCTCTTATTTAAAGTACAAAACAACTACATTTTGTGCTAATTTACCAGGGATGGCCTCGATCTTTTGAACTGCAGTGTATCTCAAATATTCTTAAAAAAATCTTTATTTATAACTGCTTTAACTGCACTGTGCATATTTAATATAGTAATGAAATAATCAAGATGCCTTTGAGAAAATAAGCAAAGTATTAAACCAGAAGAAAATTTTTTTTGATACAAAGGAGTGCTGAATTGCTGTTATATCTATCAGCAGCTTGGAATCACGTGATTTTCTAAGTGTAGCTAAGACGTGGCACAAGGCCGAAGGTATGGGGCACTGAGTGAGGATCGAACTCACCACTCTGTCACAACTGTTCTAGCAAGACAAGCTTGTTAACCATTACACTCCCATTTCTTAAAAGTCTACCACTAGTAGCTCAGTGGAATAATCAGCAATATTATTGGTCCTGACCTGGCACCTCAGTTTCAGTCACTTTATCATCACCGTAAGGTAGCTTCCCTGTGCCTTTTCTATAAATACTTTTATGGTAATTGTTCTGAACTTTTCTCTGAGGCACATAGACTTCATGAATTTAAGCATAGTACGAGAGTGGTGGCAAGGACTCGTCAATTTACAGTTGAAATTGCTAGTTGTAACCACAAGTTCTATGCTAACAGTTTTGTTTCCTCATACCTCTTGCTTATGGAACACTCTTCTGGCTTCTTGCTGCCCAGTTGACTTCAATCTTCAAAAGTTTAAATGTAATGTCAATCATTATTGTCTGTCTTAATTCTTGTTTGTTTATTGTTCTTTTTCCTTAATAGTGTTTGTTTTTTTTTTTTTTTTTTTTTCGCATATTCTCTCACACTCAGTAACCCCTTGCCTCTTAGTGGCTTTATTGCCTTGCTTGGAGTGAAATGATTAAGAAAAAAAGATACAAATGTTTACTGGAAGTGAAAGAGAATTATATTTTAAAAGGAACCTAAACAGGGAAACAAGGTATTGCTTCATCTCCTGAATTGGCTAGATGTAACCATAATTTCTATGCTAACAGGGTCTTTTCTTGCACTTCTCACTTGTGGATATTCTGGCTTCTTGCTTTCTAACCATCCTGGATCTTCAAAAATTTAAATCCAGTGTCAATTGTTATCTACTGTCTTGATTAGTCGCCTATTCTTTTTGCTACCAAATGTTTCTCTTCTTTTCTCATTCTTCCCCACCCAGTAACCCCTTGTGTCATAGTGGCTTTATGGAATGATGTTGAATTCATTAAGATGCTATCTATGAAAGATTTTTAAAAATTGGTATCACCCCATGCAAGGCAGTAAAGCCACTAAGACACAAAGGCTTACAGGGTGTAGAAAAATTAGGAACAGAAACATTAATAATAAGAGGGAAGAGTAATCAGGAGGACAGTAAATAGCGACTGACATTGCAT